AATAATTGAAGTTGCAGATAACAACCTTCCACGGTAAAAAGAACACATCATTCTTAAGAGGTTTCCTGTAATTGGAGAATTCTTTGAGTAATAGCTTTTAGACAATACAAAATTTCGATAAAGTCCCTAGTGATTTAATATGCATTCTTGTCTCGCTGTTGCAAATATTTGGCCAGATTTTTCTACTGCTCTAGTTTATTTGATTGTTTTTATATTTGATAATATTTAAACACCGAATATTTACATTAGTCGACATAACTTTGTTCTTGATCCCATTCGATTTGAAGCGACATTATTTCACAATTAACGGTTTTAGTAGTGGGAGCGTTATTATGCAACTTATAAGTAATATACATTTATTTTATGGTTTTTCGTATACGCTGAATCCGAGAAATAGTATATTACGGTACAAGAGACGAAAGTCGAAGTTTCGCCACTACTTGAAGTCATACACGCAGTCGCGGGCCTTCACGTACCGTATACTATTTTTCTTGATCCTTGGTGGAAAATAGTCGGGAAAAGTATATGGTTTTAAAAAAAAACTTTGAAAATGTTGTCAAAACATTCAGCTGACAGTCAGTGACAAAGTCAAGCTGTCAGCGAGCGTGGCGAAAATTATTACTTTCCACACGGGACGAAGAAAATTTGTCATGAGTAAAAGTGACGCTTTCGCCATCGAAAATAGTGGCCAAAGTACGTACTTTCCACCAGGGGATCAAGAAAATAACTGAATTAATGTTAAATTTTAATCTAGGATAACTTGAGAGTGTCTGGAAAATACAGTATTTAAAAGACATCAAATATAAAAAGGATTGATATTGGTATAGGATCTTTTGGGGCATTAAAAAAGGTTAAATCGAGTTTAACCCCGATAAATATACAATTTACTGGAAACATTAAATTTTAGAAAATACATTTTCTGGGAAAATACCGCAGTCATTCATTGATCTATATAACAAGCACACATCGAAAATACTGCTGAATAGATTGACCCTAAATCCAATTAGAAGTAAATGTTTCTATTGACACAAAGAATTAATAGAGTTGAAAACGTCGGCTTGTTCTCGAAAATGTTATTTATTTGTAATCTTTCGGACGAAGCAATGTGTTAAAACCTTTTCTATTAAATTAAGTAATTTAACGTAAAATTTGATGAGAAATTGCTAGAAATTAGTTACGTGACGAAATTTGTGATTGTCTCATTTCGTAGAGGAATTGAGCTAATATTTTGTAAAGGAAAGCCTTTCACTTAGTTTGAGACAAAGATGCAACATAATCATTTAAGTATATGTGACTGGGGTCTTAAAAGGGTCAGTTCCAATCCATATTGGTCGGGAATGGCAATCAAATTTTACCAGATAAATATTTAAATTTATGCAGTGGTTTTCACACTGAAATAATAAATTGATAAAATGTAAACCATATTTGGTCACGAGTGTTTATTAATTCGGAATTAAAACGGTAAATTATCAATTGTGAAATCCAGAAAAAGCTGAAATAATTTTACCAGTTGAAAATTTTTACATTTTATAAATTCATTTTATACAGGGTGTCCCGGAATTTGTGGACATGCTCTCGGATTTGTACAGGGGACGTTAAAAAACACAAGAGTTTTTATAAAAAAATTCCAGAGGGCCCCCTAGGGAGATACGGACCTCTAAAGGAGCCACCTGGGAATCTATTTTTTTTAAATAACCTATAATACTTCATGCAATGAACAGTACAGCATTGCTCTTAAAAACGATCAATATTTTTTACTTGCATTTCGGTCTGCCAGGGATGGACTAGGTGGAGCACTATAATAGTCATGTTTTTTTGCCCTGTACCATGAAAATAATGGATTTAGGTAGCTTTCACCTTAAACTAAAAAAAGACACTTGATTCATATCGATAAACAGGACGGATTTGGCGGAAAAATATTTTTATTGAATACGGATTTTAATGCATGCAATTGGCGGGCTACATTGGAAAGGGTAAAAAAATAACTATTGTTGTGCTCCACCTAAACAATCCCTAGCATACCGAAAGGCTAAAAATGTTTCCATGGGTCTTTTTTAAGAGCAATGATGAACTCCTCATTGTATGAAAAAGCAATCAGATTGAATCAAGAATTGTAATAGTTATTTAAAAAAAATCGATTCCCAGGTGGCTCCTTTAGAGGCCCGTATCTCCGAAGGGGGCCCTCTGTAATTTTTTTTATAGATTTTTTTTCCTTTGAACGTCTCCTGTAAAAGTCAGAAAGCATGCCCACATATTCCGGGGCACCCTATATATGATAAAAGACGGCCTTTTGGTCATATTAATTGGTAATCAATGAATGGCTTGTCAATCACGGAATATCCAATTTAAGCATATGAAGAATAGGTAAGGTTTTTGTCTAAATCTAACTCTGACCACTTTTGGGCTTCATACAATGAAGAATTTTTACATTTTCAAGGCACTAGCAAAATTATTAGTTTTGCACTGGGCGCCAGATTTTAAAATATTAACGTTTTGAATTCATTATATTGAACTACAATGCTTGAACATCTAAACAGGGTGGCAAGCTATTGACGTTCACGCAAAGCCTCGCCAATGTTTCAGTTGTTCAGTAGGATTCTACATGAAAGATATATCGGCTAACTCGTAATCTGAGATTATTGAAACATGATCTCAATGTTGACGGTGATTTTCATTTTCGGAAGTACATTGATATGCCTAAAAATACAGATAATTCGGCACATGGAAACCATATGTGTCAACAAAAACATAAGTTAAAAACGTGTATTTTCACACCATTGCTGAAAACAAATCCCTACAAGGTTTTATTTTTCGGCCTTTCCGTCAGTGGGATATATGTCAACGAAATCCGCTTGTTTTACAAATGGAGTTATATTGAACAGGAACTTTTTAGGAGTTATGGAACTTGTTAATTACTTGGCAATATCGCTTTACCAGAAATTAATGCAAATACAAAATGAGAAGCGCTCGCACATGAGTGCAATGTTTTGGAAGAAAGTTAAATTTTTTGAGATCATTCATATTCGGACACAATTTTATTCACAAAATATCCTGACGTCTGGACGGAATTTCAATTCTAAACTGCTAATTTGTTGAATCCTGAACATTCATAATTATATGTTCTATAGGTATAGTAAATGAGAAACTAATCTAAATCATCATCATGAATTAGGCCTCTCGTGACTGCTTCTACATGTGTCGGTGTTGTGCTGCTTGCATTCAATTTGTATGGATGCGTTTAATATCATCGGACCATCTTGCTGGTGGGCTTCCTCTGCTTCGGAGCGCTTAATGTCTACTAGTTCCACTTCAAGGTTGTTATTTGTTTTATTGCATCGGCTACTCCCGATCTTCTCCGGATTTTAGTGTTAGGGATTCGGTCTCTAAGGGATAATCCAAACATGGATCTCTCCATTGCATGTTGTGTTACCTTGATCTTATTGATTACCTTCTTTGTTAGTGTTGATGTCTCTGCACCATATATTGACGCATTGATCGAAGGCTACGTTTCAAGCAGGTTGGTAAATTTGACTTAAATATATGTTTCAGTTTCCCATATGCAGCGCAAGCCAATCCTATTCGTCTTGGTATTTCACACGTTTGGTTATCTCTGTGTATACGTATTTCATGCCCCAGGTTTATACGAGGTGGTCTCTTTGACTTCGATTCTATCTACGGTTATACTCATTCATATCACTGTATAAGATTAGTCAACAACTGAGTTTTTGCAAAGTTGATCTTTAGTCCCACTTTGCGTGAGGCTATATTTAGGCGTTGTATCATCATTTCTGCCTGGTCGAAGCTATCCGCTATAATGACTATGTCGTCTGCCAGAAGCAGATGACCGAGGTAGTTTCCATTTATATTAATGCCTAGGTTTAAACAGATTTAAAAACGTGTTTTCAAGTAACTTAGTTAAAAGTCGTGGGGAGCTTGTATCACCCTGGCTATTTTAAATTTTACCATATTGTTGTTTAGTCGGACAGATGATGTGGCATTTTTGTATATGTGTCTGATGATATTGGTCCGGTGATACCGGTAATCAACACGGCAACCAGCTAATGACTTTAGGATTTCGTGTTGCTCCACAGATTCAAACCCCTTCTCATAATCTACGAATATTAGGACCAGTGGCTTGTTATACTCTATCATTTTCTCTATGAGGGTTTTTAAGGCTTGGAGGTGGTCGTTTGTGCCAAACCCTGATCTAAATCCGGCTTGTTCTCTTGGTTGGTATGATTTTAGCTTAACAGTTATTCTCTTCGTGAATGTTCTTGCGAACAGCTTAAATATATGTGACAGTAGGCTGATAGGTCGATAATTTCCAAGATTGGTAATGTCTCCCTTTTTATGCAGGATGATGATTGTTGCATTGTTCGATTCTTAGGGCATTATTCCTCTCAAGTTTGGTTTGTAATTTTCGGCATTTGGTTCGCTTCCATTGTGCTTTGATGTGATTTCTATACTTCTGCATAAAACTGTCTCACTACTCTGAGAATTTATTCCCTATTTATTGTTATATTTCCCTGTATATTTCTGATTCTATGTTTGTTTCTTCTGCCTAAGTACTTTTAAGCTTCTGTTTGCCTTTGTCGTTCTAGCAGCCATATTCGTATTAAGTGTTCTGACGTCCTTTTATATGCCCTTCGAGGTGTTTCTGCTAAATTTTCTCAGTTCCGCAAAGTTTTGGGCGTATTTGTTTTTCCGAATTCTTCTTTCCTTCATTAGTTTTTTGGTGTTTTTGCTCAGTTTCCGTTTTCTCTCGTTTGATTTATTACAGTGTTTCTGTTCTTCCTGATTTATTACATTTGTTATCGATGCGTTTATACACATACATATATGATATACGTTGATACTTCCGTAAGTCGCCATTTGGTTTGCGTAAGAGCTATGCAAGCAGTTTTCTATTTCTCTTTGGTAGGAGTCGATGCTATCGGGTGGTGCCCATATTTTGTTCGGTTTTTGGATCATCTTCAATATTTCACTGCTGATGTGCTCACAGAAACTTTTGTTCGTATCATTCTATGGTCGCTGCCTATGAAGAGTCTGTTCAGGACTGCTACGTCGTGAACTTTTTCTTTCCTGTTTGTTATGATACAGTCTATTTCGTTCTTAGTGTTGCCATCTGAGCTGATCCAAGTCCATTTTCGTTGTAGTCTTTTGGCAAAGAAATAATTATTGAATAGAGACAGTGTTCTTGGAAGAAGTTGAGGAGTGCTTCCTCTCTCGTTTCTTTCATCAAAGCCATGGGTGCCTAGCGAAGTTTCGGCTTCATCTTTTTTCCTGCCGAGTTTGGTATTCAAGTTGCTTATCAGTAGGGTGTGATAGTTAGTATTTTCTTCCAATTCGTCATTGATGGTTTTATGGAATGCATCCAGATCTTTTTCTGATGATGTTGACGTGAGGGTAAACACCTGTATGATCTTCATATTGTGGATGAACCTAGCTTTAAAGTTGTGTACATTACTCTCGGGCTTACCCTTTTCATTTCTATTAGATTTGCTATAATCTGGTATAATGGTTTCTTGTGTACGATCATTCCCACACCAATATTTGATGTTTCTTCTTCTCCTCTATAATGGAAAATATGGCCAGTTTTTAGTGTTATCTGGCTTTCTTCTCTTCTTCTAACTTCACTCAAGCCTTCGATGTTCCATTTTATTTTATCAAGTTCTGTTTCTAGTTGAGTTACTTTTTGATCCGCTAATAAGGTTGGACGTTGTAAGACACACAAGTAGACTAGGTTACTCCGGATATTCTTTTCACCCTCTGCTTGAGACCTTTTGCCCCTACCACGCTGGCCATTGCCGGTTGCTAAGGGGAAGGATGGAAGAGGTGTGTATAAAATAGACAGAGACCCCTAGCCCTCGATTGCTCTAATAGCGTTGGGGTCGGAAGAGACTAAGAGTTGATAAAGAGAGATCTGAGAGAAAAGATAAAAGAGATAGAGGAGTCTCACCCAAGAGAACTTTAAGTAAAGTGAGAATCCATCTAGGGTACATTTTTGCTGTATAAACTTTGTTGGTTAAAGCTAAAGTTAGGAATTTAATTGGTAACTTCTGAGGACATATTATAATTAATATGGAGATTGTTTATAGTAGTAAAAAACGATATCGAGCCACAATTTGAATATTTTATTTATATCTTAAAGGCATGCTAAAAACATATTGTGCACATACTAACGACAAGCAGATTATTTGAGGGAAAGCAATCTACTGCCATTATATTATCGCATTAGCTGTAATCTAATTAATTAGCAATTTTCCAGTAGGATTCACAATTGTCTTGCAGCACCTGGGTTTAATACTTTTCACCCCTCGATAATTTATCTTAACTTTGACAGATACACCATATAAAGGTAATTTGGTCGTAACTACTTTGTTTTTTGAACCCGTTAGTTCAGGCTGCCGCCATAAGGACAATAAATTGAAATGGCTGCTTCCATTAAATTTTATTAGTCCTAAAGATCTCTGTTAGCTAGCCATCTTCGCATTTTTGATGTTTATATTAAGATCTAGTAAAATATTTCTAGATGTTATTGAAACTTTCTGAATTCACAAGTGAGAATTCAAAAGTAACATAGTCAAAAGTAAAATGTTTGCAAGTTGGTCAATTTGATATTGCTCAAATGAAAAGGTGCAAAAATCAGTTGATTCGAGAACTGGTAATAAATATACGTAGTGAATATAATTGAGTGATTGCGTTAGACCAGAGAAATAGACTATTTACCTTTTAGTTTGACTTCGCTTTCCAATGAAACCCTACATATATTAAATAAGTTTTCCCGATTCAAATCAGACTTTCAGTTCAAAACACGAATTTAATTAATGTCGAAAATGATCTGTTCCGGTTATTAAAGAAGGACATAGAGTCCAAATTGTGTTGAACTAAAGTGATCAACTGGGGCAATAGAAGGTATTAAATTTAATTAAAAGTTTCTGCTCAGGTCTCCAAAATCTCTCTGGAAGTTCATAATACTCTAGGTTATATGTAAAATTAAACCAGTTTGTTATAGCTGACCAAAGTGGATTTATGTAAATGATTATTTTTGAAATACTACATACCTACATGGTTTGACAGCGTGTGCTTATGAAATGTTAACATTTCTCATATCTCACCTTAACCACTAAGTGCGGCTTTAGAAATATTCAATCACATTTACGATCATAGTTTTTTAGTATGTGTGCTTTGAAAATGTGACCGTAGAGTCGTTGAAAAGGACAAGCAAAAATAATCATGCAACTGCTGTAAAATATCCATCCCTGATCATACATTTTATGTCTTTTTATACTTCTATTGCTCTTACCTTAAATAAACGTGTTGCTCTAATTAGGTTTTTGTCTACATACAAGAACAAGATCATTTTAATTTCGATTAAGCAAATGAGTCAGTGTTTTGCTAATTAAACGCAAACATGGGAATGACTGGCCGTAGACGATATATCAAGTGTATAAACAGGGGCAAAAACATATTTAGTTAAGCGCCATTTATTTTCTATGAATTCGTACTAAATTTGCTTTTCCACGCCAAGTATTTGGTCAGATTATTTGCATAGTTGCCATAATATTTTGTACAAATAAATTTAGTAGGCCAATAAGTAGAACAGTTGAAAAAAGAGGTTTTCCTTTGATAAATTATGTCACCAAAGCAGAATGTTTTTCTCTTAAATATCTCTTACGTATGCTAATTATGATCATTTAATCCGATTTATCTGTCCCGGAAGTAAAACCTCATATTTATGCAAGAGGCTGTTTTATACCCGGAATAAGTCCTTATTAATAGAGCTTAAGTCTGATTAATGAAACTTCCTGACTTGTTGAGTAGTCTGCAGCCCTTTGTTGCAATATGGACTAGAGCATGACCTGCTTATAAAAGGCAATAAAGCTAAGTTCAACGAGTTGTGATGCTTGCAAATCTTAAGCCTTTTAAAGTCATCTTTTATGTTACAAAGCAAGCAAACTTTATTTGTGATAATTATCAAATGTTAACTGTTTACTTAGTCCCTTATTATATAAGTCTTAATACAAGTAAAAATACATGTTTCTAGAATGATATTCATGGTATTTAATTATTCAAATTGGTATTATATATTATTCCATATGGTCATGGAATAAATTTGAAATATAAAGCATTCTTTTGGAATTTTCTAAATCATGATTATTGAAATAATTCAATCTTGTTAGAGATTGAACTATTTCTGGTGTGTTACATGTTTTGTGTGTTTTTGTGTATAATTGTATTATAGAACTTAATCTACATATCAATCTTCATCTACATGTTTACTTCTTCTTCCTTCTGTTTCATTCTGCGGTGTATAGCTATAATATATGTATGTATTTATGACTTGAATGTATCGTGTTTATTTAGAAAACTGTTTGTATGCACCTGAATACTTCCGAACAAAATTACAAAATTTCTTGGTCTTTATTAAACTAGAAACTGCTTTGAATGGACCAGAAACCGTAAGCTAAATTCTATTAAAACGTTTACCATTGGAAAAAAGTGATAAAAATTAAAGAAAATAATGTTCAATATTCTACTATAACTGCAATCTATATTCGTAAATGTTCGGTCATTTATTGGAAACTGGCTCCTTCAACCCGCTCAAGACATAT